TTAAGGTTTGGCTTTGTCATGATGACAGACAATTCAACATACTGGATAATAATACTACCTATTTTGTAGACACAGTGAGTTTTGCCTCCAGTCTCAAGTATAATGTGATCTCACATTTATTTCAATGATTAAGTCCTGAAATAGATGATAATGGCCTTTAAGCTGTGCAAGGTATAATCAGCTGTGCACTAGTGAAGGTCAGAGACTGCATACTGCTCCATCTTGATGTAATATTGGAGAATGAGGATGAGGATGAGGATGAGGATGAGGATGAGGATAACATCACTTAGGAATATAATGTCAGGTATGGCTCTTAAATTTATTATGATATATAACACATAGTATTTATATATGACAGTGTTAACTCTCTCGAGGCCACCCATATATGGACACCTCCTAGGTCACCTATGGACTGGCAAAATATATACTTCTATCTATGGAACACTGCAAAGCAAACTGGTTATGTGTGCTACACTGTGTGACATAAGGTATAAGGCCTTGATTAAGAAGTGCAAGATATAGGTAGTATTTTTTGAATCTGCCATGCAGAAAAAGAAATTGGCCTAATCCAGCCTTCATAAGTTTGAGTCCTTCTTGCAACATTTTGAATTCTCTCTAATATTATTTTTTATTTTAAAGTAATTAGCATGCCTCAAGGCTCTGAATATACCATGTGATGACTTTTTTTTTTCACCACATTTGTTTTTGGTTGCTCTTACATTGTCTTTGCATTCAAACTGAGTCACTGTATTTTTTTGTTAGTGAGTCTTATATCCTGATCTTCCCTGTCATGTACTAGTAGTACCCCATTCATATATTGCATACAATAAAATATTGGAATACTCTGATCAGAAATTTTTCCTCACTTTCACAACCCTACTTAATTGGTCTGCCCATGGTTATTTTCTCGCTGATACACTCAATATGGATATATATTATCTATATTTTGTGAAAACAGTATATTTAATCTCATGGAATCAATTCACATTGTAATGTATGAACAGTTGCCTCCAAACATCGCCCCAAAAATGACTTTCAACACTTCAAAAGTATAGTATGCAGCCAGGTTCATTGTGCAGATTTTTCTTTGAGATATACCTTTTATGCTTACCACATTTATATTTGTGGATTGTGATATGTTTATGTGTTTTTGAGGCAGTGGTGTCAGACACAAGACCACCCAAGAGCCAACATGAAGTTTCTATGAGGACTGGAATGCATTCAACTTTTTTTTTCTTTTTCTCATTCACAAAAGAAAGTGAATATACTGAAATATTTTATGTGCCAGGATTATGAATAAGAACAAAGTGTCTTATTATACAGCTGACCAGGACATAGACAAAGATATGCACAGCTATTCTACTAGCAGGGACTCCATTGACATGGATGAGAATGAAGAGGCTACCAGTCAATGTGATAATACTGATGACATTGAAGGGAACAAGCCTATTGTTCAGCTTAATGGCAAGGAAGATTCAAATGACAAAGCTAATGAGGATGTAAGCTCAGAATTAGAGGACAAGCATAGTGAGTTTGGTTATAGAGATTTGAAGAAGCACATAATAGAGGAGAAGGATGACCATGAAAATAATAGTAATGATGCTAGCAGCATTGATCTTGGTGCTAGGGATAAAGAAAATGCTGCAGATAATAAGGAGGACTATAATGACTATGAAGAGTATGAAAACACATGATAGTCTGAATATGATGCATTTTTAAGTAAATAACACTTCATAGCATATCTGTCATTACTATATCTTATAATTCATAGCTGCAAGACCTATGGCCATATTTAGAAGCCTATGCCAGGCTTATGACATTTGCCAAGGCCTTGTCAACTTTTGCCACTTTTGCTGATGCTGTTGTTGAGGTGTACCTCATCATGCAACTGCTTCCTCTATGAGGAAAAAGTGGTAATGCCTTTTGGGCCTTGTATTTCCTTACTTATGTTCAATGCCTGAATGTCATACTCCAATAACATAGAAACTTACTAGAATGTACAATGCAGATGTATGTTTTGAAATGTGCAATATAATCAGCAGGGACTTCCTTTAGTGACATCCTCCCACTAAATCAACTTCATTATCTTGTTTTGCTTTATCCCTTACTTTGGCCATATTGCTAATCCCGTCTAAGAGCACAAAATAGTTTTCACTTTGCTAAGACATTTTTTCCAAACAAATACATTGACAAAGACTTCTACTATACTATTTCAACCTAATAATTTTTTGTATCATGATTTAATTGTGTTAGAAGTACTAGTAGTGTTAGGTTGAAGGTAAACTTTATTAATAGTTAAAAAACTCTATGTGCCTGTATAATACTGTATATTACTATGTGTCACCATAAGGCACTATGTAAGCCTATCTTGCACAAGGACTTGCTATGTAATGCTATGCAGTACTATCATGTGGCTTTTAGCCAAGTAAACCTATAAATATCAATAGGAGTAAATAGCAAATGATTGACAAGCCACTAGTCATTATTATCCCTCTTTTGATGTCTGTCACCAGTACTCTCACTGACATGCTTTTCTAGCTTATTATTACAAACTCTCAAAGAGTTCAAAGTCTTAGCTCCCAAAATTGCCTTCAAACACTTTGATTCCCCCTTCTCCATGTGTACAACATGATTAACTCCAAGTCTGAAAAATCCTCTATCCCTTGTACAATGGTGTTCTAACAAACATATAACTGCAACACAAGTAAGTTCTTGAAGACCCTAAGACAGTAGTAAAGACAAGACTCAACATTCAATATGTAGACTTGAATAATAATTAAGATTGTTTAAGTTTAGGTTAGCATTTCTCGGATCACTTACTACACCTACTAATCTCTCTTCTGACTATTCATCATTGCAAATTGAAAGACCACTGTATGATTATCCTTGAAGCATTGCAATATCCTTAACATCATATGATCATAGGTTGATTCAGTACACTCAACATTGTAGATTAATATTTACCATCATCTGAGGTCATTGCCAATATTATACCTGCAGAGTATGTAGCAGTAGTAGTATTTATATTAGAAAAATAAGAATTTGAAGTTAGAGCAAAGCAAATAGCAGAGTAGTAACTGAGTCATACATATATACTGACTACAGCCCATCTTTTATTATAGATTCATCTACTTCACAAATACCTGAGATCTTTACATCATACTTTTACTTCCCATCTATGAACAACTGGCTGCATACCTTGCAAAGGCCATCAACAGGTTTATAGAAGACATTCCTTATAACAAATTTTTGATCAACATCACTATGCACCTAAATCACTGTATCCAGAACAAGGACTTCACAAACATACCAGACTTGCATCTTACCATTACAACACAACCATCAGATGATATGAAGTTAATGAGATAGTAATAGTGAAGCAGGTTTATAGATGAATAGAAGAATGCAGACTTTCTTCAGATACTAACTGTATGGTACACAAACTAAGCATCACATGCAATAGCCATTAAGAGATCAATTACACTTTTATGATATCCTTCAAGAGTGAACTAAATGACATTAGCCACAAGAAGGAAAAATGTCACTACTTAACAACTTCACTTGGCTCCTATATTAGATTATAAGGAGTTCATCCCTTCCTATATCAAGAAGAGCCTAAAGTTTGCACTAGTAGAGATCAAATCTCATACTTAGATTAATATCAGTGAGATCAACTATAGTGTATACAAACATGGTGCAGATGGTCACTTTGATTTCAATAACAAGAGTGTTGCTATATTCACAGAGAAGGTACATAGTATATGTTTATCTTATTAGTAGTTACTACTTCCTCAATTTGCTGCCTGCAAAATCTCTACTCTATATTATAGATGGATGATACTGTCAAGAGTTTGAAGGGGTATATTATATCATTGATGGAGTGTATGGGGCTTGAGTACTCTGTAATTTAGAGTGTGCATGATTTACATCTCAGTTTAGGGCCTATTTGGAGGGTAGCTCTCAATTCTATCTTCTTTGCAATTTATATGATAGCTTATTGTTGTTATTTGGATTGGTATAATTATAAATATAATACATAAGTGTAAGACAATGCATATTGCTGTTTAATCATGTATCCAGCCAATAAGTGCCTTACTCTCACTCATTCCAATCACTTTCTCATCTGATGTAATGACTTGCCCCTTGTCTAATGCAGCACTGACTTCTTTCTCCACTATATTATTATTTGATGTGTAGCCTAAATGCTTAATAAGTAAGTTGGAGGTTTAGTCTAAGGGAAAATATAGAGAACCTAAGAGGAAACAGAAGAAAAAAGTGAAGTGGAATGGCAATGACAAGGGGAAGGGTCGTCAGTAAGCCTTGTCATATTTATCATTAAGAGTAAGTGTCCATTGTTTAATTTGATTTTCTCCTGCACCAATAACTTACATGATTGTTACTTCTAGTCTTAAGTTCTATCTGTCATGCTGCTCTTTAAATCTGCTAGCCTACTGTATCAAGTTAATTTCATTTATGATTGAACTCGGACTCATACTAGGTTGTTGTTATTCATATCACATTTTTAGTAGTTATAGACTTATCACATGAACAAACTGTTACGAACTCAGATAGAGTCTTCCGTAACAACTCCAATAAAGGAGATCAAGAGTACGGGTTCAAGTAGACGACGACTAGAGGTAGAACTCTAGCGAAGTGATCGAGTAAAGGCTAGTCTCTTTGCAAAGAGCTAGATCGGAGGCACCCTTATGTCCTAGTCAAGTATCAGGGAGAACTGAGTAGATTCAAGTTAAGGAAATATACAAGAGGTAGCTAGGGTTTATATATGTAAGTAGAAGTGCATGGGCCAGTCCATGAGGCGTTGTAAAAGTACAGGAAAAGGAAGTCAGAGATAAGGAGAGTCCTCATGGTCGACATGAGGTGCGCTAGAAGTGCGACGGGGATCAAGAAGTATAGTATATGCGTAGTCCTGCAGGTGATGATGGGAAAATGATGGGGTCACTGTAACATTACCCCCCTGTCAACGTCTGAAGTCTCCGACTTCAATCACAATTCTGGTAAAGCTCCGGGTCGAGATCAGCGTCTTTAGCGAATTGACCTTTATACTTGTCTGCCTTGTTGTCTCTCTCGTTTTCCCATTGCCTGAGTTGATAATGAAAGGCATAGGTGCCGGGTTTGGTGGTGATGATACATTTGCCCATAAGATCTGGGCAGTTAGAGGAGAGGTGGCGGGGTTCGTGCTTATTGCAGACACGGCAGAAGTACTTGGGACATTTGATCTGGCGATGGTCTTCTTCGCTGCAATAACGACAGGTGATGGTGGAGTAATCGACACCATTGCGATCACGGAAAGTTTCTTCAGATTGAGCTTGGACGGAGTTGGAGATATATTCTTTATCTTCAACAAAGGGGGAAGCGGGATTAATAGGACGTGAGAGTCCGACACCAAAGGAGATGGTCTCCCTTCTTTTCTTTCGTTCATGGCATGGGTTTCCCAGGGAGCGGACAGCGAATTGGGACTGTGGAGGGATAGGGATGGGGGTGTCATCGTCAGAGAACGAAGGGGAGGTGGGGATGGTCTGCATCATGGGTTCTGGGGAGAGGGTTATAGAATAGCAAGAAGAGCGTAAATAATCGTCTGGTCTGGGGAAATCGGGAAGAGTCATGGCCGACTCGATTCCTTTATCCATCAAGCATCGGAGGGTGAGGTGCTTGATTTTTGCTTGTTGGGAGACAACGAGTCTGGCTTTGTCGTCGATCATCATGGAGTTGGTATAAGCAATAGTAAGATCAGCGGCGCAGAAGGTGGTGATCTGAGCTAGGGCATCAAGATCTTCACAGAAGAATGATTTGAGGGGAAGGATACAGTCACGAGATAGAAGGGCAGCTTTGACAAGGCCTTGTCTTTCACAAAGAGCAAGGTCAGAATGATAGGTTTCAAGGGAGGATGCGGAAGAAGAAGAGGATTTCTTGGAGGTAGGCATATTGTTTGTGTGTGGTCAGATGAGGAGTCTAGCAAGTCTGAGGCGGTTTTTGTAGGTTTTCAGAATTTCTTGGGCATTGGCGAGTTCCTTTTCGGAAAGCCATGAGTTTTCGGAGCTAGGGTACCCTTTCCATGACACGAGGAAGCAGTGTTTTCCTTTTACATTTCCCTTGTGGGCGAGAACAGCTTCTATTTCGTATTCTTCCTGCCCATTAATGTGGTCAGGGGGAGGTTCAGGGTAGTTTGGTCCATGGATTTCTGTTTCATGATAGGAGGATAGCTCGGAGGCATGGAAGACAGGGTGTGATTTCCAGGAGGGAGGGAGTCGGATCTTGAATGTGATAGGGAAAAGGACTTCTTCTACTTCAAAGGGTCCATATCACTTAGGGGCGAGCTTCCTGGAAGGAAGGTGTGTGATGAGGTGCGCAGCAGAGAGCCAAACCTTGTCTTTAGGTTTCCAGGGTACAAACTTCTTTCCATATGTCCAATCAGCCATGTGTTGCATTGCAAGGTTGTGGCAGGATAAGGCTTCTTCTTGAATCTTCTGGAGGTGTTTAATTCGTTCTTCTGCTGCAGGGATGGATTATTCAGGGAAAGCATAAGGAATTCATCGGGGTTCATAGCCCATCATGAGGTAGAAAGGGGAGGCGTTGCGAGGTTCAGGTTTTCGGTGATTGTGGACGAATTCAGCCATAGGGAGGTGCTTGACCCATTCAGAAGGTGTGGATCGGCAATAGATGCGGAGATAGGTTTCGAGTTCCTGGTTCAGGCATTCAGTTTGCCCGTCAGTCTGGGGGTGGTAGGCAGTGGAGAGGGCGACTTCGTAGGCGAGGAGTCTTCCAAGTTCTTTTGCGAGTTTGGAGGCGAATTGGGGACCTCTATCAGAAATAATTTTGTCATAAAGGCTGAAGTGGAGGAAAACTTTCTTGAAGAAGAGTTGGGCAACTCCTTCAGCAGTGATGGTTTTCTTGCATGGACAGAGAATTACCCCCTTCATAAGGCCATGGTCTACCATGACCATGACAGAATCATAGCCTCCCAATTTGGGGAGATCAGTGATCAGGTCTACGGAGATCTGTGAGAAGGGGTGAAGCGCAGTGGAGGGAATAGGATTCAGGGGAGGGGAGGAAGGGTGCGTGTTTGATTTCATTTGCTGGCAAAGGGCGCAGCCTTCTACGTATTTTCGGATAAAAGTGCCCATGCTGGGCCACCAATAGTCTTGTTTGATGAGTTCTTCAGTCTTAAAGTGTCCTGGGTGGCCAGCAGTAGGGTGATCATGGTGGAGGGAGAGCGTCAGGAGCGGTGAGCTTGCTTCCTGCAACATGGTGGAGTTCTAGGTCAAATTCATTCAGGGTTAATTGCCAATGTGCTTGGCAACGGGTAAGGTTCTGGGCAGATCAGAAGTAGAGAAGGTTCTTGTGATCAGTGAAAACTATCACAGGGTGTGTGTTTCCTTCTAGATAATGCCTCCATGCCTTCAGGGCACAGATAATGGCGAGAAGTTCCCGATCATATACCTGGTAGTTTTGTTCTGCGGGGTTAAAGGATTGGGAAAGGTATCCACAAGGGTGGTATGCTCCATTCTCATCAGTCTGGAGAAGAACGGCTCCAGTGGCCATGAGGGAAGTGTCAGTGGCAAGAGCAAATTGTCGAGAGGGATCGGGGTTATGGAGGACGGGTTCGGAGAGGAAGCATTTCTTCAGCTTCTCAAAGGATTCGGTGCAGGGAGGTGTCCAGTTGATTTGGTATCCTTTTTGGTTAGGTCGATCAACGGTCAGGCGAGGTCAGAGTAATGGGAGATGAAATGGCGGTAAAAGTTGCAGAATCCGAGGAATGATTGGACTTCTTTAACTGAGGTGGGGGTCTGCCAATCTCTGATTCCACAGAGTTTGGCGGGGTCCATGGCCACTTGGCCAGGGCGGATGATCATGCCAAGATAGTCGACTTCTTGGACATCAAAGAGGCATTTTTCGGGTTTCAGGAAGAGGGTTTCTTTTCGAATGATTTCAAGGACACGGCGGGTTCTTTCATGGTGTTCTTCTAGGGACTTCGAGAATATGAGGATGTCATCCATATAGACGATCATCCATCCTTCGTTGATTTCTTTCTGGAAGGTCTGATTCATGTAAGCTTGGAATGTGGCTGGCGAGTTGCACAGCCCGAAGAACATGACCTTCAGTTCGAAGAGTCCAAATGAGGTGGTGAATGCTGCTTTCCAGCAATCATCAGGGTGGATTAAAATGTTGTTGTATCCAGAACGAACATCCATTTTGGTGAAATATTTCGCATCGTGGAGCTTCGCGATCAGAGGCGGGATCAGGGGAAGGGGATAGGCGTTCTTTATTGTCCATTCATTAATGTAACAATAGTCTTGGCAGGGTCTGAGGGAACCATCTTTCTTTCCTACAAAGAAGAAGCCACTCGCTTGAGGTGACTTCAAAGGTTGTATGAAGTCTTTGGAAATATGTTCATCAAGGAAGGCTTTCACGGTGTCAGTCTCTTTCGGAGATAGAGGGTAGGTTTTCGCGGATTTCGGAATGTAGCCTGGTTTGGTTTCGATTCTATGGTCAACACCAGGTCTAGAGGGGGGAAGCTTATTTAAGCCGTCTTTGGCAAAAATGTCAGCAAAGTCATAGAGGTAGGAGGGGACAAGCTCTTCAAAGGATTTCTTCTTCTTTTCTTGAGCATCCTTGAGGGCGAATTCTTGAGCCTTGTTGCTGGTCTTCAGATATTTGTCTTCTTCGGCTTTTCTCAGGATCCACTGATTCCTGAGAGGGGTGAGAGATGCCATTCGGTGGATCTCGGCAGCAGATGTGCCGTCACGAGTGAGAGGGGTGTCGAAGGAGAGGTTTTCAAATAGGGTTACCTCGGAACCATTTTCAGCATATCTAATTAGTACCTCATCGTCATTGAGAGTGTATGTTGCAGGGTCATCTACCCTGTAGGCGAGGAAGGTGTCTTTTTCCCAGGGTTTAGTGGGAACGTCATCCCATACGTCCCAGTTGGTGTCATATTGGGGAGGGACAGTCATATCGGGCATGGTAGGGGGGATTTCTTCGAGGCAGTCATGAAACACTTCTTCATCTTGAAGTTTGATTCGTTCTATGATTCTTTTGCTGTTTACGGGCAGAGTGTTTCGGACGGGGTGATCCCCATTCTTCTCAAGTTCTTCAGACACGGAGGATTTCATGTAGGTCATGTGTACTCCCCGCTTCTTTCGGTAGATGTTCTCGAGTCTGATGGATCGAGGGGTGGATAGTAGTCAAAGAGTGTCATCAGTCCAATTGATGTCTGGGTTCATGGCATTCAGCCAGGGTTTTCTGAGGAGGATCATGTCTTTGTCACTCATATTGAGGATATTGAACTTTCCTATCATAACTCGATCGTCAATCTTGATTGCGAGATGGCAGAAATGCGTGACTGTGTGTTTGGAGAGTTCTCCATCTGCAGTGCGGATCTTGATTGGTTTCGATAGTTTGTGCGTAGTGATCTTGTGTTTTCTGACAAACATCCAGTGTATAAATGTTGCAACTGCGCCAGTGTCAATGACCGCAGTGGTTTCCAGCGATTTGCTTTGATGTTCGGAGGATAAGATGGTGACCGGCACCCTAAATTCTCTGGTCTTTCCTACATTCTTGATGGTACGTACATCGAGACAGGGGAGTTCTAACGCTGTGGTAGGCTCCCATTCTAAAAATCCATTCTCTTGGTTTCTAGATCTTCATCATCAGACAGATCTTCGACCTTGCTTGAGATTTGTTCATCATCAGGTTCAGCACGCCTTACTGGTTTCTTCGCTTTATCATTCTTTTGGGCATCTCCGGTCTTCTTGGGGTGAAATGCAGGGTCGTTGGCACGATGTCCTGCCTTGTGACACAGGAAGCATAAACCTTTCTTCATATGTTTGGTTCTGGCTTCATCGGTCATGCGGTCCACATCCATGGCATTAGGATCGTGGGTTCTGGTGGGTGTATATCATGGGGTTGTCTTCCAGTTATTCTGGGAAGGATGGTGGGATCAGTGGGACATCAAGAGTTGGTATGCAGACTCCATGTTGACAACCTTCCTGACTAATCCGTCAAAGGTGTCAGAGATATCTCCTGAGTGGCAGATCTTCTGGACGACTTTGGGTTTCAGACCACAGAGGAAATAATCTTTCTTGGCAGCGAAGTTCGTCATTCCAGCTTTTCCGCAAAGCTGTTTGAATGTGTTGATGTACTCATTGACATCTATGCCTTGTTTAAGGTTGTGCAGTTTGTACAATGCAGTACCTGCGGAATCGATGGGGTCAAAGGAGGCGGCGAAGTCATCTAAGAACTTTGCCCAAGTTCCATAGCCATAGGGTTGTCTGGTCTCTAGGTTGATTTCCATGGCATGGTCGATGAAATCTTCCATCCATGTGGCTGCTGCGCCTTTCTTGATGAAGGAGAGGGCAAAGCCGATCTTCTCAGTATCTGTTTCATAGATTTTCTCATTGATGGTGAGATATAGGTGGATGAGTCAGATAAACTTGGAGGAGGTATTTCTTTCTCCATTGAAATCAGGTGGGGTGCCGATCTTCTTTTCAATTGGTCTAGGCATTTCTTCGTCAGAATCTGGGCCTTCTTTTTCTTCATCATCAGAGGGTTCTTTGTCTGGATCTGGCAGAGGAGCTTCATATCTAGCTCTGTATCTGGGTTGGGGTTCAGGTGCATCAGGGATTTCTTCGTCTTGGTCTATGACAAGAGGAGCAGGTCTGGCTGTGGAATCGGCGATGGGTCCAATTGATACTCTGCTACCACCAGGGATCGATGACAGTCCTGGCTGGTTGAGGAGTGATGCAAAAGGGGATGGTAGTGTCTGGGGTCGATTCTGTCCAACTGTCAAAGTTGGGGATCTAGGATATGAGTTCGGCCCAAAGGCTTCTTGGGCGGCGTGTCTCTGCTTCCGTGAAGAAGACGTGCTGGTCAAAGGTGGGCCCCGCTAGATAGCTGGGGTATCAGGGTAACTTGAATCTTTTGT